ATATATTTATATTGACTCTGTTCTTATACATACACACATATATGTAAAATATATACACACCAAAGAAAAACATACATCAATACACTCTGCTATGTTTAAAAACCCTAAACCCTAAACCCTAAACCCTAAACCCTAAACCCTAAACCCTAAACCCTACTTGCGCGTGTTGTGGATTGTTGTTTGGCCTGTGTAAGATGGGGTTGAGGGTTTACGAGTCTTGATGTGGTTAGGGTTTGTGTAGGGTTTAGGGGAGATATAAACCCTAAACCACTTTCTAGTAAACCCTCATCCAAACCCTCACCCAAACCCTCAGCTAAACCCTCAGCTAAACCCTCATTAGGGTTTAGGGTTATTACTTCTGCTTCAGCAGGCAAAGGCTTTATGTTTCTCTCCGTCTGCAGCAACTCTGTTGCTAGCTCCTGATCACACATAAACCCTAAACCCTAAACCCTAAACCCTTATAAACCCTTATAAACCCTTATAAACCCTCACTCCTCGTCTTAAACCCTAAACCCTAAACCCTAAACCCTAAACCCTAAAACCCTAAAATATGAATACAATAAACCCTAAACCCTAAACACACAAAAACCCTAAACAACTAGCTAGACCCTAAACCCTAACACACTAAACCCTCCCCTCGTTCTCTCCCTAAACCCTAAACCCTAAACCCTAAACCCTCGTATTTTTTCCATACCTTAACAAGCGCACAGAGACTCTCGGTGTTCTCTTCTTCCCCCTGCTGCTGCTGCTGCTGCTGCTGCTGCTGCTGCTGCTGCTGCTGCAGAGCAGCAAAGAAAGGTTCTGCTTCGACGCCAAATTCCGAAAATAAATCAAAAATAACGGCTTTTAGTTCTTTTTGTGAAAGCGGCGGGAGGCCCCCGTGGGGTGTATAGGCAGCTCGGGAGCACAGGGTGGTGGCGGCTAGAGATAAATAAGGGGTAGATAGCATACATATATTGTTGTTTTTATTTATATTTATTTTATTTATTTTATTTATTTTATTTATTTCTTCTTTTTTATTTATATTTTCGTATGTTTCGCAACGAGGGTGCTGACGGCACAAACCACTAAACCCCGATAAAGAAGAACAGCTCAAACCCTCAAAAGGCTCTGAAACACAATAAACCCTAAACCCTAAACCCTAAACCCTAAACCCTTATAAACCCTTGTAAACCCTTATACCCTAAACCCTAAACCCTAAACCCTTATAAACCCTTGTAAACCCTAGTAAACCCTTATACCCTAAACCCTAAACCCTTATACACACTTATAAACCCTTATAAACGCGCATAAAGATACATAAACCCTAAACCCTAAACACACACACTAAACACACACAGACCCTAATACTAAACCCTAAACCCTAAATAATCCTAGACAACTCTAAACCCTAAACCCTAAACCCTAAACCCTAAACCCTCAAGACAACCAACACACAACCATTCACAGCTCATATCCTACTCCATCAACTCTAGGGTTTAGGGTTTAGAATCATTCAGGG